TAACTACATGACACTGTGCATAATGCACGGGCATAGTATTGATTTGGAACCCCCCCCGCCCACCTCCTACGCATTTTCCATATGCTGAATTCCTCTTGATATGCAAATTATTTTGTTTAGGCGCTCTTCTTCCCACCTCCCCCCCTCTAACCCAGCTTAAATATACGCTCCAAGCTTGGTGGTGCTTCATTCTTCGCCTGAGGACGGCTGCTTGCGTTGTGGCCGAAACGTCGTGAGAATTGTTTTATTATGTTTTATTTTTATTATTTTATTACTTCCCTTCTACGTGACTTTACCGAAATAACCAAGAAGATGACACTGTGTAACAAGCAAAAAAATTGTCCCTGGGTAGTAAGTGTTATTTTCTAATTGCTTATGCCTCAAAAGTACAGAAAATGGCTAGTATTCCCCACAAACTTTGCTTTTGTGACCAGGACAGTGCTATTTTGAAATTTACCTATTTTCAATGAGAAAACGTGGCGTGCATTTGTGTCATTCCTTCACATACATTCCTGGTCACAAAAGCTACGTTTGTGGGGAATCATAGACATTTTCTATACTGTTTAGACATAAGCAATTGAAAAAATTGCACTTCGTACCCAGGAACAAAAATTGTCTTACAAAGTGTTATCAGCCCAGGGGGGGGTGCGGCAATCGGTCAGTCGGGGCCCCAATATTAGATTCGTCTCGCACGGTCGCACCTAGGAGACAATTCGATATCACAGCTCCTCTTTGCCTAATCACAAAATAAGTTGTTGTTGTTGTTGTTCTTTTTACACTGTTGTTGAAAACATATCTCGTGATGGTTTTCAAGGAGGGGGGCCCAACTCGGAGCTTTGGAGGGGTGGCAAGGCACCCCCTGCCCCCAAGCTCGTTACACTATCGCTGTCTATGTATTTTCTTTGGTTCTTTCGATAAAGTTATGTAGATAGAAAAATAAAAAATAAAGTGTATTATTTTACTTTTATTAATTTTAATTTTATTTTTTTACCTACGTGACGTTACCGAAAAAAACCTAAGAGTATGAATCCTTGCAGTCACGAAAGCTTCAAATCTAGAATGTATGGAGTACCCATAAGAAGGATTTTTTGGGGGTTAGATCGCGTAAATATGTAAATGTGTCGTTAAAACCCGCCACCACCCGACACAGCCAACTAGTAAGGGTTGTCATATAAACAGAACGTGGCCAATTCGTCACTAGTACAGCACTAACCGGTGTGTTGGAGAGCGAGGCCACAACATTTACAATCCGAGTACTTAACGACACTTTTATATATTTACGCGATCTCACCCCAAAAAACCCCTCGATTATGGATGAGATTTTTCGCGAAAGCCTACGTGTATATGTAGTAAGTTTATTGACACTAGACACACACATGCTTGGTGTGCATTTTACTCTATGGAGCATCTAATCGGAGAAAACTCTAACTATTATTTAATTTATTTTCACGTTGGTGGTGCATGCCTGGAATTCGGTGGGCTTTTGGAAGCAAAGGGTTGGTGTATCACGTAGGGATTCAGCATCATCATGCGCGCGCATGGTCACTCCACTGCTGGATAAAGGCTTCCCAAAGCCGCGTCGGTCATGGGGGTAGTTCGACCATATTTGACCACTCTGTAGTTCCTGTGTGGGAGATGCCTCTTATCCTCTTATTCCTGCTGGGCTGGGCAGAGGTGGCCCGGAGATGGCAGTACAGCAAGTGGGTTTGTGAATCTGTCTGTACAGAATGTATGGGTTTTATCCCGGTATTATAGTTTCCCACTCAAAAAAAGAACATTTGACAAACGTCACGACGCAGAACCCTCTTGAAAATGGGCCTTGAGACTCATTGAGGCTTTCCTGAATATTATCGTTTACATTGCCTACGAACCCGGAGACCAGAGTTCGATTCCCGCTCACGACCAACACCGGTGACGATTATCTGAATCGGTCCTGGGCCTCCGCTAGGTCGACTCAGCCTCAAATGAATACCTGGTGCGGTGTGTAGTAGACATCGGCACTAGGGGGACAAAGGCGGCCGGGTGGGTGTGGTGCTGATCACCCACGCACTTTCCACAACAGTCCTTAAAGGTTATACAGGGAGGAGGGTGTCTTTGTCTTTGCTACCCCCCAGAGCGAATCAAGCCAGTCTTAATAGCTATTCATTGACAGCAATTTAAATCTCTCTACAGCTACGCAGGGGTTCTCTTGTGTATTATCTGTAAGTGTTGACTGGTAATGTCTATACACTGCATAGGGGTATTCACTTTGTGAGTCGCTCTACCCTCGCATGAGTAATGGGGGCGGGGAGGACAATTGTTAGGCTGCATCACCACCGTCAACATCGATGAATCATCACCACGACTCTCGCGATGACAAAGGCCGGTTTTGCATTGTAGTCTTACTTTTTTCTAAAGGCAAATCAACATTTCAGCCTTAGTTACATGTTGATTCACTCACGAAGCATGCGCCTGTGTGTCAGAAACGATACATCATTGTGTTGTGTACGCCTTGTACGCATCCTCCCCTCCTTACTGCTAAATGTGTCAGTTACGGGAGTTGTTTGACCATACTTCATCATCTTCTTGGTTCTTTCGGTAAAGTCACGTAGAAGGGAAATAATAAAAAAATAAAAATAAAACATAATAAAATAATTCTCACGTTTCGGCCACAACGCAAGCAGCCGTTCTCAGGTGAAGACCAGGTCTGTCGGGGAGACAGCGTCTGAAAGAAACACCACCACGCTTGGAGCGTATATTTAAGCTGGGTTGGAAGGGGAAGAGCGCTTAAATATACGCTCCAAGCGTGGTGGTGTTTCATTCAGACGCTGTCTCCCCGACAGACCTGGTCTTCACCTGAGGACGCTGTCTCCCCGACAGACCTGGTCTTCACCTGAGGACGGCTGCTTGCGTTGTGGCCGAAACGTCGTGATAATTATTTTATTATTTCCCTTCTACGTGACTTTACCGAAAGAACCAAGAAGATGAATCCCTGCAGTCACGAAAGCTTTCAATCGAAACATACTTCACCATGTTGGCCAGGATGGGTGAGTGAAGAGGGGGTTGCTGGCCCAGTTCAGATATAATTTACGAAATGATGTTAGCCGATTTTATTTCAAGTTTATTTTGTGAGATATGTGGAAACACTCCATATAGGCGCCATACACCTACTTACTGTCCTGTCTTACAAACGCATCGGGAACTTGTAGGTGTGGCGATCAGGATAACTTAAGGGCCAGTTAAACACGTTGGCTTTCGATACCATTATCCATAGTACAGGTGTTATGGGTTAGATCGCGTACATTTATTTACGCTATTTAACTAAAAAAAACCCTGTATTATGGATTATTAAGGCCCTGCAACATAATTCAAATATAGGGAACAAGCACGTGCTGTTTTTTGGACTCACAGATATTTTTTGCAGCGAGAACAAATGCTGTAATTACCCCAAACATATTACAGAGAGAAGCGAGAATGTCATTAGATTATACTTTCTTGAATTTTACAGATGTATTGGCTGATTATAAATGGTTGCAATGTTGTGTTACATGTTTCTACATATTCTGCTGTTCAGGTTAGGAAGGGGCTTTCCAGGACAAGAAATTGTTTCGTCTAAAACAGAACTTGCGCAATAATTCACATTTGGCAAATGAAAACCACATCCAGTACCACCATACATCACAGCAGTCACCACAGTAATTAAAGCCATTTACGGATCATTAGCCACAGCTGTTCTACGCTTATTTTGTAATTACATATTTTCAATATTATACTTCCCCCAATCCCATTAATTTGAAAGCTATATTATAAATGCATTATTTACCCATCACCAGGAGATTCACCAACAGTTGGTCGGGGTCGGACATCTAATTTATGTTAATTAACGGTTTGACATTAAGGTTGATGGATAGCATACGGTCCCGTCCATCCACTGCTGGATGAAGGCCGCGTCGGACGTGGGAGTTGGATAACCATACTTCACTGCTCTGGTCAGTGAGAGATAGGGCGATGGCCTGGAGCGGTTTACGATATCATCCGCCTCTGATAACTCTTTTGCCGGGAATACGAGTGCGCTAACCACTGTGCCACTGCGCCACCCCGAGATTTAAACCGTCATTATTTTATGAACACGAAAAGAAGGCTTGTTTGTTAACAGGTCTCCAGCACGTTTCTTGTCAATGTTATGTTGTATCCAAGCAGCCCATGTCAGAGGGGCATTCCACAACGCTCAATCACACATTTGTTTGGAAGGAAATCAAACACCTCCCTTCAACTGCACTGTGAATACTAATTACCACAATGTTTTAAGATACACAGCACTCTACATTCTGTACATTTTAGTCAACTATAGACATGTATCCAAGTAACATACAATGCATAGGCGAGATTGGTTAGTTCAATGTATTTGGACAAATATGCCAGAATGTCCAATCTTATGTTGGAAGTCAAGCAATTGTTTAGCCCAGCTGGTGGATGGTCGACGAGAGGTTTTAGGCCTCAGTGCCCAACATCGTACGGAGGGCCTCATTTAGAAATCAAGTGACAAAAGGATTGTAGTAAGGAAGGCCTCCAAGCGGTTGCCATCCCTCATGATCTCTGCGGTGTTCGTCCTCTCCTTTAGCTGCAAATTCATCACCAATCATGGACACCGGCCATCATCAATGGAAGCAGTGTCCTGTTCAATCCCAATTGTCAACGGCCTCTAATTAGTGTGCTCCAATCCATGTTTGTCTTTGTCTCTGGGTGGAACTCCAAACATGCTCTCCATGTTTCTTTGCAAACTTTTAGTCTTGTTACATTTGCTATCAGTACACTGTCCATTACAAGGCTAGTTAATTAGTGGTAACATCTATTTGTTTTTGTAGGAATTTAAATTTGTTGAAAAGCACAAGTAGAAACTGACCTTTTGAACTCATGTTTGTAATGGGTACCACACAGCAACACCGGCACAATAATCTTTATAGGATTGGAAAAATATTTCGTTGGGACTCAATGTACTGCATTATTTATGGGCAATGGAGGCAGATTTGCTGAGAAACTTTATTGATTCAAAAGAGCAGTAACATAGCAGCTCCAAACATTCAGCATACCAAACTTCACACGTGCTAGACCAAGCTCTCGCAGTCACGTTAAATATACGCGCACGCTCACGCACAGACGAGTGTAAGTCCGCACACCTCAAGTTTCGCATTCCTACAAAAAACGAAACGCACATCTCTGCATTCCACACGTACAGCTAAACATGACCATACCGAGCAAAGCATCCGGGCCTTCCAACATCAACTGAACTGAAATCTGTAAAAAAAGGAACAGCCAACATCAATCACCTTTTCGGGCCAAGGTGACGATACACCATACCAGACCACTCGACTGAATGCTGGAGTACGAAGATTACATGTTTTGAAATTAAAATGTCATCAAACACACACAAATATCAAGTATCCAGAGGACAACAATAACCACAAAACGATGTACAGGGCAGTAGAGTTTGATATTATGCAAAATTCATTCAACCTCTTCAGTACAATTTCACTGAAATGTAATACTTTGGTTCCGAGGTTCAAAAACAATTGTTTCCTTTTTTTGTTTCTTTTGTTTTTGTACAAAATTTCAATCACGCCGCACCAATTAAAAATGGTCACATTCACGCCAACGCAAAATGTCGCCTTTAATTTACTCACCCAAACCATTGCCACACATCACAACCTCGCACTCAAACTTGCTGGTGATTTCCACTCTCACGTTATAAAACAGCCACGACTCTATAGATTAAAATGTACAATTGAGCGCACTGCCTGAAGAAGAGTCAAACGCTTCTGCCCCGTAACGACGTCAACGTAAAAAAAACCCAAAAGTAAAATATAAACGTTGCCTATATATGCTACCAGTTAAATCTTGAAAACATCGGTATTAAGTTTCCAAAGAGTATATATACGAAAGGCGCACATGTTAGACGTGTACCCAGGCATGCCGGGCAGATCTCTAGCACTCTGCTCTAGAACAGGTCACAGCAGTTGTGGAAAGTTCAGGTTACAACGTCAAGGCCTCTTTTTTTGGACCATGTCTCGGGAGGAAAATTGAGAAGTCAAGGAGGCATGGACTTGTTCTACCATCAACGTCACTTTATAAAAAAAAAACAGTCTGCTTGCGCCACTTAGGATGGCCCATAAATCACAGCACAAGGGAATAAATTCCCTCATATGGATCCAATGCATGACTGACATAGCGATGCTGAAGATTAAGACTGTTAAGAAATTGCCGATTTACACAAAATCTACTCGATTGGGCATGATGTTCACATGCAATAATGAAATATTGATGCAGTTGAACAAGCATCGGATAATGATCAATTACTCAAATTTGGTGACAGCTCGTTCAATGCCTCACTGTTTGCAAGTCCAGTACAGGGCACATGGAGTGCCGGCAGGTTAATTGCGCGAGCAGATAAGACTAAACTGTTCAGCCTTTGCTGGCAACATTTCTACAGCTTTTAATCACTACGGGAATGTGCAACCATTCCATGTTTGGCAGTGAATAGGCCAAATCCAATTGCATCAAATTATGCCTAAAACAAGACCACACATGTAAATAACCGTGGCAATCAACAGTCATATCGTCGCATGCCAATGACGCACCGGGTGAGCGACAGTACGTCATGCCTCCAAGACATGTTTACATCTTTGATGGTGGGGGAAAGTTGTGGATCGATGTAAATAACCCCACCGCACAGAAACTTCCAGCAACAAGACCACTGGCAAGTGCATAAACATATCCTACCAATACACATGAACTTGATAAAGCCTCAACATCACTTATCATCTGGTGACCCTGTTCAAAATCGGCTACAGCACACCATTGTGGTTGTGATGCCCAACAAAACAAATATTGATGTGTGCTCACTGACAAGGTGCTGCACATGGCCTTGGATTGCGTTGACAGCCATACTTGCAGATCTAGTGCCCAAAACCAGAACACAAGCAATGTTGAGATGGCATATTTATATTTGACCAAAGGACTAAAAAGCTTAGCTCTTCATCGACAGACCAACAACTGCATTTTCCACAATAAACAGTGGAAAACACAAACATGAGCACTCTCGCGTTTACACGCCAAAATCGTGGTCTTTGTTATCTCACTTTTGCTTCAGGTCTTACAAGGTGCAGAAAATTCAAACTAGTATTGAAAAAACATTAGTTTTATTCCCCTACCCAGCAAAAGATCACATTAGACCTCTAAAGTGAATAATTCATGCAGCTCAAAAAAATTAGGAGATTATCTTTTACACTAGCATTAAGTAATCAAAATATGACAGCTTAAAGACTGTACAGATTTCTTGTTAAAAATGTCAAGCCAACAGTTTACTCCTCCAAGTTAAGTCACTTATAAAGCGGGAAAAACAGCTTCCGGGGGTTTCTCAGGGAAATGAATGTCTCATTGGGTCCCCATCTTCATGTGGTGAGGGCCAGGCGGTACGCAGACACAAGTGTCCTCAGCTCCTGCAGCGCATAGTCGCCGGGTAGCGGAAGTTGCCCGATGTGCTGTGCGTAGGGGTGCAGTGGAAGTCCGGCCAGGCGTCCTCCAGGACGCATGTCATCATCCCTGCCCTCCTCCCCCCCGCCCTGCTGCAAACTCATCACCGCCCGCAGAATGTTTGCCGTTTGCTTTGCCATCTCTGCCAGAACAGAATGGGGAAGTGGGGAAACGTGAAAATTATTGTCGTCATTCGTAAGATTTGGAGAGGAACCTTCCTCCACCGTTGCAGTCCACACTGTCAGAAAGACAAATGTAAAACCTAATTGTTCAAAATATTATCTTAAAAGGTTGGCAGAGGTCATAATCAGTCCAGTGCTGGAAAAAAGGCCTCCCTATATCAACATTACACATTTTTCTTGGTTCTTTCGGTAGTCGCATAGAATGGAAATAATAAAATAATAAAAAATATAACAATAAAATTCTCACGTTTCGATTGCACAGGCAATCATCATCAGGTGCGAAAACCACAGCAAGAAAATTGTGAAGGGGTTTAAAGTTTATTATTTTATTATTTCCCTTCTACGTGACTTTACCGAAAGAACCAAGAATATGAATCCCTGCAATCACGAAAGCTTTAAATCGAAATATTACACATTGTTGCGTTTTCCAGATGTCAATCCAATTATATTTCTTTTGGTTAGCGAATTGCAGGAGATGACTTTTATTTTGCCCATATTTATCTTTCGCAAAATGTTCTGCTTTTGCAAAGTTCAAATAATTTTCTACAATTAACTTCCACTAGTTGTTTGTGACTGTCATTAGAAAATCTCAGGATGGTTATACTTTCTCCATTTGTGTCTTTATTACTCCAATACAATTTTTAGTAAATATATTCTGCCATCAACCACATGAGCAAGTGGGATTTAGAAAAAAACATTTTCAATGGACCATGTACATACTATCAATACTTATTTCAGGAAAAACACATTAACTATTTTATTTTATTTTACCAGGTGACACTTTAATGAGCTACACAGCTCTTTTTCATAAGTGATCTGGCCACAAATGATTGTGCAACGAATTGGTCTATTAATGTGCACATGTATAGCAGCCAAATACTCTAAATGAATGTTTCTAAATGTGGAAGGAAAAACCAGAGAACCAGGAGAAAATTGCACGTGACCACATTAACATCAAATACCATTATGCCGAGATTTCTGGAGATAAAAATACACGAGTGGACATTGCTGAAACCATCTCATAAATCTAAGCTTGAATTTAAAAATATACAAATTATATTATCAATGTATAAACAGAGCACAGCTACACCAAGACATCATGTAGAATGCAACAAAATACAAATGAGGAGTTGGGCAAGGAGATATGATATCACCACGAGTGGTATTCACAGCCTCACTTCAACAGTGTACGAGGATTCGATGAAATTGACAGGTATGAGAATGAATTGACGATGCAATGAAAATATCAAATTATGAGCTGCAATTGAAATTCAACGAAAGCTATTAATAAACCAAGAGAAGCCAGCAGTGATTGAAGTGCACACCTGCTTGGCTGAGACGGTCTCGTGCAGAAAAACAAGGGACATCTTCGATGCGTGGACACAGCAAAGCCACTTCTGTACAAAGGGCCTCCAGCTCGGCACCCGGCGTTTCCGACTGTCCAGTAAAGAAACAAGGTCAATATTAACTTTTTAAATAATAACCCTTCACCACCACTTCAAGCACCCGCAAAAGATAATGCAATGAAGTGTAACTTGCTGAACTGAAAAATCCAAGAACATTTTAGTAAAATTGCTTTGATAGAAGTTAAATCAAATGTGATATAAACTCAAATACAAACACATCATGGTGCAACTCCTTTACAAATCGCTGTTAATTTTATTAAAAGCCTCTCCCGGCTCCTAAATTTCACGTGAATGTTCAAACAAATTGCCGCATAGGCTCCAAGTCCCTGCGATAAATCATGCTCCAAAGCCTTTACAATTCTATCGCAGCTTTTTTTTTATTAAAGCCTCTGCTGGCTCTGAACTTGCATACGTAGCCATGTTTGAGGTGTGGATTTTGCATCGGCGCCTCGACAGGCGTGTACACTGACCTCGTTGTGCAGCCTGAGCAGAGTCTCCGTGACCCGGATGTAGTCAAGGAAGACCCGCCCTGCGACCTCCCAGTCGGGGATGTGAATGCTGATCTCTGGTGCTGCCATCTCCTCCAAGAAAGTCTTGAGGTACCCATAGTTTTCATTGATGATAGCATCTTCTCAATACAAAGGAAGCACAGGACATTGGAAATTGTTCAGAGCGTTTTATCGCTTACAAATCATTATGTATAGAAATGCATTTTAAATATTTCACACAACTCGCACAGCTTGTGTGAAACACAGAATTTCTTTTGATTTTAAACAAGTTATTTGACATGTACAGTCATATTTTTTTAATTCCTCCACTTTAATCCAATGGACAGGGAAAGGTTACAAACAGTGATGATTAAGATTTTTCAGTGGTCTGTTAGAGGCTATTTTTCCAACTAAAATGATCACCAACAGACCAACATACATATGACTATCACTCAATTTGCCCCACTCGACATCTGTGAAAAAGCTTGATATCTCATTAGATTCCTGCAGTCTAGATAAAAATGTCAGATTCTGAATTTCCCACAGCATCATCAGATTACGACTTGATTCTAAAAGTTAATGACAATACCGCAGTCGTTCTCAGGGGAGGGGTTTAACAACACGCGTAATTTGAGACAGAAAACTAGACTGCAGCCGGTTTTATATGATGTATACATGTACGTCCATCTTCCTTCGCACCGTACGTAGCCAACCGTGCTAATCGGAGGTGCGGGGGAAGGAGCCCATACCGGCGGCAAGGTTGCGGATTACGACCCTGTGGCAAGCGTTGTAGAGGCCAGCATGCAACAGGTGGTGAGCCTCGTCACGGTGGTCTCCAAGTTGCCGGGCTCGGTGGGCCTGCGCCTCATGGAGCCAGGAAGCCGGCACACCCAGGCGCCCCGTCACAAACTCAAATGCCTCCTCGGTCATCTCCGCCTCACTGCAATGCCTGCCCAGCATCTCCCGCACCGCCTTCGTTCGGGAGCTAAACAGGGAGAAAATATGACCATTATGGCGCTACCCCGGGGTACCAAATAATACAAAATGGCCGAGGCAATTACATATTTTATTTTTGGGACACTTTTTTCCAGGGGTGTACTTAACTCCACGGACTGGGATACCAATCGATCAATCCGAAATCAGTGCTACTCCGTGATGTCGAAATGCAGCGAGGACGATTGCACTGAAACCCCGAACGCTCGTACGCACCAGTGCATCGTGCACAGCTCGTCGAGATGAGTCGATTGCTGCATCGATCATCAGCAGACTAAAAATGACTGAATCACGAGCATTATGCGAGAGCTAGGGTACTATGGTACCCCGGGGGTACTATGGTACCCCGGGGGTACCGCCATAAGGTTCATATGTCAAATCGGGGACACAAACATGAATTGTAACTTCAGGTTAAAATGACAAATGCAGCAGAAAGGATTTCTGGATAACTTTCGGCTACAGTTTTATTAACCATTATGACTTGTATGGTAGGGGCTCTGCAAGACATGAGTGCCTAGTTTATTTTGTGGCTAGGACAAATCTAAAATGTATTATTCAGAGATATTAGGTGTTTAACCTTAACCAACTGCGAAACACTCCCTTTGTCATCTTATTGTTCTTAGGCAAATGCACTTAACTTTCTCAAGCTATTTCACCAAGAAGCATCGACTGTAAACAAGTTGCTCACAGATAGGTCTGCACTTTCGAAATGTTTTCAAGATTGAATTTGAAGTCTCATCGTCATCTCCAGGAGTGATCTTGACGAATGACTAGTGGGTCCTGAAGCAGTAAAGGATTAGATCCAACATAATAAGAATGTCCATTTTTGTAATAGACTATGCCAATGTTGCACCCAATAGCCTCAACGAGTCTGAACATTATTTAAGGCATTCTTTTATTGGCATTCTATTTTTAATTAGAGCTTTTCAAGGTGGGAAGACCTTGGGTAAACCGCAACACGCATTATGGAATAGCAATACAATCTCACACAGATTCAATAATTATTGAAATGTTAAAATACTGATGTCATCTGCTGGCCGCCTCACAACCGAAGCTTACAACACAAGTTAATCCCAGGTGTCTCATTCTGGCTTAACCCTGCCCTAACCCTGAAGACGGAGACTTGTGTTGCCTCCGAAACGTCGTGATTTAATCGAGTAATTTTCATTCATTATTATTTTTTACCTACGTGACTTTACCGAAAAAACCTAAGAGTATGAATCCTTGCAGTCACGAAAGCTTCAAATCTAGAATTAACCCTGCCCCATCATCCTGTTTATCTTCCAAGATACAAGGATGGGGGGGGGGGTGAAACATTTCAGGCCATTTTCATCAGTCATTGAAAAATGCATCGATGTTATGAGATGTCCTCACCTTGCGTCGGGGATGTTCATGAGCACAAAGACCGCCCACTCCCAGAGGCCAGCTGACTCAAGCTGGGCAGCGTAAGCGGCGTTCAGTGCTCCAGCGCTACGAGCGGGCAGATGTTGGTAGCCGAGCGCTTGAACGGCAAGCCACAGGTGCCAGGACAGCCGGTAATCCAGGGGATCGGCGGTGACGGAGCTGGCATCACACAGTTGGTCCAAATCGTAGTGTCTGCAAGAAGTGATCGACGGGAAAGGAGGGGATTTGAACCATGAGCTCAGGAATGGTGTACAGCAGTAAAAAAATGTCGTAGCATCTTTGGGAAATGCTCACAACGGACATGATTCTGGGTCTCCCTTATTTGCACTTTGCACCTTCGGTTCTTCTTGTAAAATATACATTTCTCAATGGGTTCACAACAGTGTAAACATGCTTTTATACTCAAATGTGATAATTTCCTATTTATAGCCCTCTTCAATTACTTAGGCCATCCACAAGACAATTGTTTATTTTCCACAACAGTCCTAATTTTTTTGACCAGAGGGTTAAAAGTATGTGCAGATGCTATAATGCTAAAGTTTTTTATGTATGCCAATATAAACTGGGCCATAATTATTTTCTTCGAGAATTCAAAATTTTACACAATATTTACTTATAAACTATATATATTTATTTTGTAAACAGAAAATATCCACAAATGAAGGGGGTTATGTTCTTGAAAATTGCCGCGAATGGTCACATGCCACAGGGGCCGTGATCAGTGAACTGTACCTCAATACGTCTGGCGCGAAACCGCAAAACCTCGATATCTAAACCCGCGAGAGGGAAGGGCTTGCTATAGCATATAGGCAAGGCCTAGCAATAGCACGTTCAACGCTTTCTGCAGAGGTTCACGGTTGGAAACCAGCAGCCTGCCTTGATTAATACTACAGGTATATTGTAACCATGAAATGTACCTTCTGCTTTACAGTGGCGGAAAAAAAAGTGCGTCCACCCACTTGTCACTGTAGAGTTTGAGCAGGTGGTAGCAGGCATCCCTCACTGGCCGCCTCTGCTTCCTCTCTTCCTCATCCATCTCCTCCTCTTCCACAGGGCACAACTTGTTGTCCTCCATGTATGGAGGGAGCGGTCGGCAGGCGTATCGCTCGCACTCGTCCGAGCCCTGCGAAAAGAAAAATCGAGCAACACCATTACAGACCCCCCCGCCTACAATCTGTTCCCGACTCCCAAATCAAGGTGCCGCAGGAAAACAGCACTTGCCTCGAATGCATTTTCGTAGGCCTTCAGGGCATCAGCCACCGACACCATGGGGCTCAGCATGTACCAGAGGTGGACGGCGAGCGAACGCTTCCAGTCAAGTGACTCGCACACGTTCACCGGCTCCCCCGCAGACATCTCCCACACCTGCGGGCATACAAGTGAGCTTAGGAACCGGTTCTCTGGAGAGACGTCACGGCTACGAGCGAACGCCACATCTCTTTTGGAATAAACTTAAAGGCGCACGCGGTTTAAAAAGGCAGAAATTCGCCAAACGTCATTCGTCTCACCCTACCACTTTTGGCAGTGTCAGAGCAGTTAAAACACTCAAAATGTGCAAAACATTTCTTGACAATTAAATGCAAAATGACTAAGTGTGGTGAAGTGGATCATGGAGGACATAAAGATGCAGCACGTAAGACGACTTACCGGCTTGCCAGCGAGTAGGGTGTAGACTGCTATGCGATCGCTGTTGATGTAATGGTCGACCTGCAACTTGCCCCACTCGGAGAGGTTCAAGGCCAGCAGCTGACGGGTTGGTTTGCTCCCAACGGCTTGGCTGATGAGTAGCGCGAGTCGATGGTCTCCTGTGACCGCACACAAATGTATGTTTTTATACTCGCAAATAAAATAATGCAGACGTTCAAAATTTGCAATTAACTTTAGAACTGCGACAAATCTATAATATATACAATATATGAATCTGAAACTATTGCTTCATATGCATTAGATGACAGTACTTGCAGACATTGCCATGTGTTATGGTAATGAGACATTTCCTAAAATGCCTCAAGGTTTCAGTTGCAGAACAGGCTGGAGCAGTGTTTCCCAACTCCCTTCTGCCCAGCCCCCATCCGTCTGCCTTTTCGTCGATAACAATTTTTTTTTTATATTTGTATGCAAATTAATTCACGGTACATCTGCACATATGGTTGGAATCCCAGAAAGCTGTACCATGAGGGTGGAGCAACGAGGCGATCGAAGTTTCCGACCAAAAAAAATACCCGACCGCAAGATGTCATATGCTCATTAATTTTCCCTTTCATCCAATTAAACCTGCTGTTGTACATTATTAGTAAGTTTGCGATCCACAAATTATTTTTTATACAAGTCAATCCACTACTGGATGAAAACCTCCCCATGACATGTTGAGATACCACTCGTCACCATCCTGGCTAGGGGCTAGAGATCAAACTCCGTCCCAGGGGTTCATAGCGCAGTGCCAACCACTCCACTGCCATCTACCCAAATTAATTTCCAGAGAAGGGAAAACGTATAAATCTACAGGGAGACACCAACACAGGCAGAGCCACTCCCACCATTTACCTGCATCCTGTGCCAGCCGACAAGCACGCGCGATCTGCCTTCCGCTCAGGCAGCTGAATACGGCATAGGTTGACAATTTGCCGTTACCGCCGAGCGCCACCTCGCCTTCGACTTTCTCCAGGGCGGCACGCTCCAGCCAGCGCGACAGGGCCTCCCGTCGCTCTGCCTGCTGGGCATACGCCCTACCGCCACCTTCCCCGACACCCTCCATGGCAGCCTCCTCCTCATCCCTGACGTCTACGTCATCCTCGTCGTCTCCCACTCTGTCACGGCCATGCAGGTGGCCCCACAGCGCCTCGCACAGCGTCCACACCAGATACCACTGCTTCAAAGTGTCTGCGGGAAAACGTTTGGGAAAAGAACATAGTAGCGATGATTGTTTGTTTAGTATTCATTACCGATGTGTCGATTGACACTTTTCTGTTATATGGCAATGTTCGGCGTAAACTTGGCAAGTGGTGTCATTTGTGTATTAACAGGGATGTAATGTGTGGAAAATCAATTTATGCACACAATTCACGAGCATAAGTGTTTTTACGAAGGAGATGCATGTTATGCCAATTTTATATTTATGCTAACTTTTCGAAGAGAGACAGTACAATCAATACAGAATATAGGCATTACATTTTAAATCGTTATTTCAACTCCCCTAACAATTATGCTGCCTATTTAGACAGAGATGAACAGAGCTACCAAATCACACTTTCAACTTAATTTCAAAAGTGCTAAAACATGAGAACACCAACGGTAAAAATTAGACGCAAGGAGAATTGACCGCTTAATGAATCACGGCTCTTGAAATTTCTGGCAACCCCTACAAGTCGAGTTAGCAATCTTATACTTGTGTTTTGGTTCCCGTGTGAACACATCCAAGGCACTGACCAGTTTCGGAGGTGCTGGCTGCCGCCTCCTGAGCGAGCACATCCTCAACCCAGTGAGCGTAGCGGTGCACCGAGGACACGCCTGGCCGTGGGCGGAACAGGGGGCAGCAGAGCTCCCTGTCGTCTGAGCCAGCGGCCGCCCCGAGTTCCATCGCGTCGGATTGCGCGTGCTCGTTCACACGCTCGCTCTCCTCCAGGGCAATCTCCAGCTTCTCCTGGATGCGGTAGCGGCCCTCGGAGCCGGCCCATGGGCAGACGCTCACGCACTCCACGTGCACCTTGAACGGCGATGGCGCAATTCTGAGTGGGAAATCATTTGGGATGTGGAAAAATGTTTTCATAAAAAAGTGAGGGGGGGGGAGGGGGGTTGTAATTATTTTAACAAATATCATAGAACAAAAATAAAGCACTGTAAACGTGGCACGTGGTAGATTGTCGATAAAGCTTTTCGATAAATGACGAAAGTGAAACATTAAATATGATTTTTTACGTCCGAATCAGGCTGTGTGTGCTTACCGCTTGACCAGTGTTGGTGTGAAGGCATTCAGCCCCACCTCCTCGTGTCTATCGGTCGATTGCTCCTCACTATTTGTGCATCCGATAAGGTCGCCAACGTGGCAAAGACTTCCGCCGGGGCCCCAGCCAACACGAAACGAGCGGCCTGCATAAAGGGCCGCATCGGCGAGGCAGTGGCGACCATGGGCCACCGAGTTATGGGCCGGTATGAGGCCACAGGCCCGCTGAGGGGCGGCCGCTGCTCGTCCAGGCCCGCCTGCCTTGCCGTCAACGGGTAGACCCACAGGAGGGGAGAGTAGAGAGTAGGGCCTGGCGGAGATTTGGTTTAAAAAAATACAATGGTAGTCTTAATGCAAAATGATGCAACCAATGTCAATAAAAAATATCCAACAAAATGTACACTAAATTATATTGTACTTTGGGCTCATAGGGGTTAGGGACTAGATAACCCGATGGCCACTATAGGGCCCTTAGGCTGATGAACAGATCTTACTTTAGTTAATTTGGATAAGTTTTTCAGTCCAATGTTAGAGGAAGGCTTTCCCACACCGCGTTAAAATGGGTCTGCTCCTATACAACGTTGAGATGAAAACGTCAGGAAGATTATCTCAGCGAGTCACCTGGATAAGGTCACGTGGTGAGACGGTTCACGAATTCTGGTGAAAATCCGAGGTTTGGTGGCGAGGTGTTCTTGTCCAAGATCCTTATGCGGTGAAACTACAGTGGCATCCATCCCAATAGTGGAGCCAAGTCCGAACTTACTTTGCAGCAGTGCTCCTGCAAGAGAAAGAAAATGTGAGGGGAAACAAATCCATGATTAAGAATCAGGGTATAAATTGCAAGACAGAGGGCCAGAATTACTCTCATGTTCTTTTTATTTGGACTGCAAGGAATTTACATTTTTAACCACTTTCTTGAACAAAAGATATTACCCGAGAGCCGGCTGCGGAGTGTCCTCATGTCAGCAAGCTTGGCAGCGCAGGAAGCATTTTGCATCACTGAGAAGGATGGCAAATGAGAGACGGCACCAAACCGCTGCGGCGATACCTCCACCTCTCCCTCCTCCTCCTCCGCCAGAAACGATGCCTTCATCACCTGGCAGAACCACACACACACAACATGGATATATCACAGGTTCCTTCCATGGTGGTGAAAAAAAAACTACATGTACCTGTCGACATTTATTAGTCAGGCACATGAATTGTGACAAATGTGTTGTTTAAAGGCTAATGTAAAAGCAAAAAAACGTCAATAGTTGAATATCATTTTTGACTAATAAATAATGCACATAATTAAATACATTAAAATACAGCTTCAGTAAAAAACAAATGCCTGTTTTTTCAACAAGTAATCAACACAAAGAATAAGACATGACAAAAATACAGTAAAACCTTGGATTACGAGTAACTTGGTCTGAGAGTGTTTTGCAAGACGAGCAAAAATTTTCAATAAATAATTTGATAAATGAGCGAGGTCTTGCAATATGAGTAGTACGTGTATACGCTTTGTCTGCCGAGTGTCACGTGATCACAACTGATATACGAGTGCTTTGAATTACAAACACGTTTCCGGAACGAGTTATGCTCGCAATCCAAGGTTTTACTGTATATAAAATAGAAATCCGATTAACATAAAACTATGCAATGAAATGCCCAGGATGTGTAATGCAAGTGTTGCTCGGCCAAGCACCTGCAGGCGGTGTGTGCTCATCCCCAGGTAAGAGGCGAGGTGGTGGGAGGCAGCTACGGGCTCCGCTCCGTCCTCCAGATCCTTGACGTAGCCACCCATGTGTCCCTGCAGCTCGCACGTGTCGTCGTCTTCCACGTAGAAGCCACGTGGCACCGGCTCCAGGGAGATGTCGGCCATCTCGCTGTCCTGCTCCCCACCGAGCCCGCCAAGTTCCTTGCCTCCCAGCTGCCAATCAGAATCAGAATATTTATTCATACTGGGATGAAGCCGATGAGCCGTAAATTTCTTTTCCAGAGATGTCCAGTGGGGGCGGGTTACTAACAATTAAACACGATAGGATTGCAAATGTTGACTTAAAGCTTCCGTGACTGCACGAATTCACACTCTTTGGGTCTTTCGGTAAAGTCACGTAGATCGGTTCAAAAATTAATAAAATAAACAAATAACTACAATGCTTCGATCGTAACACAAGCGACCGTCATCAGGTGGGAAAAAAGGGGGGAAGCCACTAAACGAAAGCCGTGTTAAAGGTTTCAAGCGTCCTGGTAACAGAACGAAGTGGGAGGGGCACAAGTGCCCTTGGGGCCAGCACACGAGGAGATGGTTAAGGGCGGAGCCAGACAAGGCTGGGGGGCATAAAAGGGAGGTGCGGGGCCACATCGGGGCTGTCTGCTGGAATGGAACCCGCCGTGCTCAGTCTTCTCCTCCGTCTCCGGTCTTCGTACTCGGCATCGTGGGTCAGGCAGTGTGCCAACTGACCTGATCCGTTTATAAAGTTACCCCATGGTGGTTACCGGTTATGTAGTTGTCCCGTTGTGGTTACTAGTTATGTAGTTACCCCGTTGTGGTCGTAGAATAAACGTGTTGCCTGCTGAATTAGTGTGTCTCACAAGTGAACCCACTACACAATGATCAGCCACGCTGAAGTGTTGGTCCTCCCATGTTTCAAATCTGTCTTATACTCACGAACACGATCTGAGACACGTCGCTTCGTTTTCCCAATGTAACTACTGCCGCAGACACAGCTTAGTTTGTAGACGCGGGGGTATTGCATGTCAGGGATCTTATCCTTCACGGATGATATCAGATCACACATTTTATGCACATTGTTAAATCGAACCTGGATCTTGTGTTTGCTCATAATTTTGTAAATCTTTTTGGCGACCCCTGCTATGTATGGCAAGGTGATGGTTTTTATTGGGTCCTCAGATGGCTCCTTCCCAACGGTTGGGGCGATAGCTTTACGGATTGTGTAGTCCGAATATACATTCGTTTTGAGAGTTTGGTGCACGTGTTTTAGTTCACTGGTTAGGTGATGGTCGGAGATACATCGAGCTCTATGGTGTAGAGTTTTGATGAGGGAATTCTTCTGGGATGGATGGTGGTGGGAGTCAGTTTTTAGGTAGTCATTAGTAAAAGTTGCTTTCTTGAGCCATCTGGTCTCTTTTCAATTAAAACATCCAAGAATGAATGGTAGCTTGCCACCCGTTTTCCACCTCCATGGTGAATTTGATGGCTGGGTGTATGGAATTGATATGGTTGAGGAATTGGTTCAGAGCTTACCTTTCCTGCAAAGTACAGGAAAGGTAAGCAAATCACACAAAACACACCAGGCAAAGCCCAGAGCTATTAGCTTCTTTTTCAGAAGCGACCTGGCCACAAATGTTAGCTCAACAAAGTAGCTTATCATGTGGAAGTTTATAGGACCAGAGCATTGCCAATTCCAACCATAAATTTGTTATTTAAACGCAGACCTACAGGCAGCACTCCAGACAAGGTTTTTGGCCTTTGAATAATTATACTTGCAATTTTCACACCGAGCAATATGTATTTTCACCGGTTAAATGTAACATTACCTTTACGTCACGAGTAATTTGGAAAATGAATGTATGATCATTAACGCTCGCGTAGAGTATACATTTTGACTGCATGCTTCTTTGAACTCAAATACAGACTTGTTCTAATTATTTAACTTGAAAAGTGAAAACTAAAAAGGGGCCGAATAATACAGCTCCAAAAAATTCGTTTATTAAAATGTTTGTTGATCAACCAGACTTAATTAACGAATCGTCCAGCCCCCCCTCGTGGCAAGCACGAGTTTTTACCTCTGTGGGGCCAAGCTTTCCTTGCGAGACGAGCTTCTGAGACTGCTGCATTGCCGGAGGAGCGAGCCCAGTCTTCAACTTCTTCCCCTCCACCACATGGCCAGGCGGCAGAGCCGGCAGGACTTTGCCCGTTAAAGGGTCCACCACTTCGTCCTCGTCTTCTTCATCATCTTGGATGCCATACTTGGAGAAATGCTTTACCTGGGCATTGGGGGAAGCGTACAACATACCAATTGATGGGAGTGTACTTGATAAGATACAATTTTGGAAACACATGCCAGTGTCAATGAAACACACGACAATCCAATTTCAAGTGTCAATTGTACGATTTCCCCAGAAATGGCCACAAACTTCATGCAGATAATATCAACAAAACTCTACTTTCTGGGAATAACATTTTAAGGCTATTGTTTTGTTTTCCCAGGGCACTCCTCAGTTGTACTCGGAATATGAACATGGATATGTATGTTAAGTAGGGGTATGAAGAGCATATTGGTCAACAAGGCTCTCCTGGTAAATTGCATAAGAAATATAGGCATCTGCTGTAAACTTGAAGGTAAATTTCCTGTGACAATGCCAGAAATAATTATGCCAAAGCATTTGTCAATGTACATTTTAAAAAGTTAAATGTATCCACAAATGAAAAAAATATTGCATAGATAACTCAAGCGACAATGGTCCATATTAAAGACAGAAATAATGTGAATGCAGTGCACTTAAAAAATGAAGTATAATGATAAGCTTACAAATATTTAGTGGTCGTATATTTTTATATTTCATAAGAACAATTAAATACATAATTAATACAAATTGGTCTTATGAAACTTATTCAAGACACCAATACGCATTTCCTGGTCTATCCAATACAATTTCACTGCAGTGATAGCACAGGAGTACTCCTACGAGTTCGTCTTTTTTTTTCAAACCGATTATAAAAATCGGACCATCCAAATCACAGCTCAAGAGATATACCTAATTTCTCCAACCTCTATCGTATTTTCCTTTAACCGTAACAAAGACACGACAAAAGGGAATCGCTTACATCAAAGACCCAAGAACCGGTCTCGGGCCGATACTCGCGGAACAGCGCTCCCTGCCGCGTGGAGGCCCTCTCGAGGCGCTCCTCATAGGCCATGCGCATCAGTCGCTCAGGGCTCGTGATATGCCGGCCCGTGGTCTTGTCCAATGGCCACACACCATCCAGGGTCACTTCCGCTCTCCTGCCATGCGTCAAATCACGGCCACACACAGTGTCATGTGTACGATTAGATTTGTGCCGCCGACCGTCTGTTCACTCAAGTTGGGGCGCCTTCAGGGAAGTCGTGTACTGTATACGCAACTACGCACAAATTCTGTGAGTCACTGAAACTGCTGTGCCGTTACTTATTGCCAATTATGGACTCAGACTATTGTCCTAGCATCGCATAGAGTCCCTGGCACATAATAATATGCTACACAGTGGCAGTGGAGGTCGCAAAATGCCGATTTATTACGAATAAACCCCAATGATCCAATCGAAATTAGGGATTTCGATCGGATCATTGGGGAGCCACGTGCCACCCCACCGACCTCCACTGGCTCCACCAGTGTTAGGGGGTTGTGTTGAAAAGAACAATAGATGATTGAATCCATCAGAATGGAGCTCTTAAATGAATAGGGTTCAAGATTATCTAGTTTCCTCCAGCTTATATTATACAGATTTAAAACACTAGGTCAAACATGAAAATGTAGGACCTTAGTGAACAAATACGATACAGAACGAGTTCAACTGCACAGCAATACTAACCAGATAGTTCATACAATTTAAAACAATAAAAAGCAGAGGAGCTCATCCTTTAAAAAAAAACAATTCCCAATGCGACTATGTACACATTGAATATATTATGAAGTAAATTTAACAAAAATTCTGAAAAGACACCTCAACAAGAAATCCTGTCTGACCTGTTGAGGCCTTCATCACAGGGAGGCTTGTCGTTGTCATCGGGGTACACGATCACCTCCTTCCGGCGGATGTGCACGATCGCGTCAAGGTTCAGCAGCTTCAGGTTTATTTCCCCCGAAAAGCAGATGGAACCGTAACCTGCAGACACAACAGATACAGCAAGGTGGATATAGTGGATACAGGGAGGGCCGAATGTAATAGAAACATTTTTAGTACGGAAATTCGTTTCGGGATGGTGCGTGTAGACGCTTCACTAACCTTGCCGGCCAATGGTGAAATTATTTACAATGCAGTCTCTGTTCTCGTCTGTAAGCCTTGCCAGCTCATCCATGGGAGGAATGGTATAATACCCAAAGCGTGTGAGCACAATGCCTGCAGGTTGACATAAGGGAGACATCACAATAGACAGGTCAAGCATGAGGAAGGTGTATCGTCACAGTTACACCTCCGATTAGCACAGCTGGCTACATACGGTGTGAAAGAAGTTCAACATATATACAACTACTGTCTCAACATCTGGAATACATTTTTCTTTACATCCTAGGAGTGTGTATCCATAGCGTTTACATAAATATCTCAGAATGCTGTAAACGCTATTTACTCATAAGCAGCGAGAAAATTACTGAAACTGACATTAGAAAATTCATGCATGTGTTGAGTAGTTATTTAATTTAAATTTATGAATGATGCCCTGACTGGTGAGCATTTTAAATTTCGTTGTACTGGTGACAATGACAATAAACGATCTATCTATCTATCTAGTTCCTGACGTACATACTCGGAGACGGAGGTAAGTTAGGGGCTTTCGCCAGGGTTTATTAAAGCTTATCAATACTACACAGGGTACACAACTCCCAGGGGCTAGGGGTCCTACTCTGAGTCCGGGTCCCTGCCGGCTAGCTCCGGTCTCTCTCTCTCGTGTTGGATCGTGGACTCTGCCGACTCCACTGACCGGAGAGAGCATCTCTACGGCTACCACCGGCTTCTCCCCAGACTCCCTATTCGATCCCTCTCTCTACCCCTGGTTCCCTCTTCACCCTGTTAACTTTCCCCGTTCCCACAGTGACCCCGCTTACGTCACGGGGTATCCCTTAAGTACCCTAGGAGACGTGACGTCATGTGCACTGTCCAGCGCGCGTGACCCCACGTCCCGTGACGTCATCGCACTGGACAGCGCACACGACGCCACTACTCTCCTCTACTCCTCTACACATGGATAGGGCAAGTGACCTGCAGGATGCGGCTGAACCATCCTTTGTTGCTCCTCGTCCGGTTCGTAATCCTCGTCGTCGTGGGTCGAATTCTCTACCACAGAAGACGACGACTCTTCGCTGCCCCGTTCCCGATCCATCCCCCCGCCTCCCATCGCCCCCCCTTCGGCGCCTCTGCTACCGCCACTGGCGCTCCGACCGCGCTGTCGGACGTTCAGCGCCAGCAGAGATCCATCGAGGGAGCCGTTGAGCAGGCTCTTGTGCATCTTGGGCGGCGGGCCCCTGGTGGACGTGCCCACCTCCACGCCACCCGGCGTGCCCAAGGACATGTCCGACGGCAGCTCTCGGCTCACATCTGTGTCGTCAGCATTTGCATGTAGCGCCATGGAGGTGCCGTTGCTGAAAATAAAAAATAAACTGAATTAGTAAAAGAAAATGCGTGATTAAATTGTAGATAGGTTACCTTGCACTTTGTCTAAGGGATTTCCAGAATGACATTTGAGACTTTGTTCACGTGAATAAACTATTTTATTGCCACAGTAAGGGCAAATCATAAAATGGCACTCGACATTGTCTTATAATTTTTGGGAACGACATTGGTAAATTTACCACTCACCTTTCGGATTAGCAAAGCTTCAAACTCATGTCAGACAGCCACAAAGCTCACAGCGTAGATAAGCAACTACAAGCTTTGTTGCGTTTTCCTTTAAAACGATGGTTATTGAAAATTATTTGAAATTTATCTAATGTGCAACCATTTAACAGGTTAAAATTTGTAGCAACAGGCTTTATTGGATCTATGCCCATGTCTATAAAATATAATTTACACCTTCAAATTCCAGTTTTACATCCAGCAAACTTCAGACAACTTATAACCGTCAACATTTCCAGGCTCCATACATCCTCGTACTGATAACAAATGTGCCGAACCACAGCCAAAATTTAATGGTCCCCAGCCAGCACATGAAGGCCGCTTAACAAACGGTATATGTTTTACCTCAAGCCGTTGACAGGGTAATCGGAGGGAGGTGCCAGGTCATCATGATCCTTCGAGTGAGATAGCGGAGAGAAAACTGGAGACTGTGTGCTCTTTATAGCAAGCTTCTTGACACTTTTCCTGCAAACAGACACCAACATTTACCAGTTATTTTCTGCAAGTCAAAATTATTATATAAATGCAATTTCTTAGCAGCACATCTAAATAAAAACCTACTCCCAAACAAGGTACCATTGGGCATTTGCATCATATCAAACATGTCCATAAAGCAGCAAATTCCTATCAAACATAAAACACTGATTGCATTGCAGCACGTCAGCATCATAACATAAACATTCACTTACAACTGAACCAGATGTAGAAAAACAAGGCAGTCCCACCATAAAGTAAGCGGGAAAAAACTATAAATTTCGATTTAAAGCTTTTGTGACTGCATGGATTCATCTTCTTGGTTCTTTCGGTAAAGTCACGTAGAAGGGAAGTCTCCCCGACAGACCTGGTCTTCACCTGAGGACGGCTGCTTGCGTTGTGGCCGAAACGTCGTGAGAATTATTTTATTATGTTTTATTTTATTATTGTATTACTTCCCTTCTACGTGACTTTACCGAAAGAACCAAGAAGAGGAAACAAACTAATCCGTGCGTGCCTGTGATTTATTACAGGGCATTGTGGAAGAGTAACTAGTAGGCTATATATTTGTTTGAATGTTACGAGAATAGTCGGTCTATTGTGTAAAACAGGCCAGACGTTTTAAAAACATATCTTACCTATAAAAATATTTTTTTGTCTGTCTATGTCTGTGCATCTGCGCACACCTAGTCTTGCAATGTTTTTAACTGACAAACTGTTGGGTTTACATTTAAACAAAGTACCGAAAAAACCTAAGAATACAAAGTACACAGATACAACACAATAAGCGCCTAGACGAAAACCCACTATTTGTTATTCCCCTCCGTCAAATGTAAACTAATAAAATCACACTTATAACTATTTATTATTACGCTGATCATGGCGCCAAAGCACGCATCTGCGCATGCGCGGAAACGCTGACTCGCGGCTTCCCCTAGCAACGCACACGAGCTTGCAGCGACGGGAGGTTCTCTTTCACGTAAAAAATGCGAAAAAGAAACACCGAGGTAAACCTGAACGGTGCGATGTCCTCTTCTCCCCCCCTCCACCCCAATGTGTGCAGTTACTACTGTAAAGTCGATAGATCCTCCTACGGTCAGTAAATACTGCTAGTCAGTAGATACTACTATAGTCAGTAGCTAAAACTATAGTTAGTAGATACTATGATAGTCAGTAGTTAGTAATTTAGAGTCAGTAACTACTAGTAAGTCGCTACCAATACAGTCAGTATATACTGCTGCAGTCATTAGATATGACTATAGGAGGCAGTAGATACTGCTATAGAGTTATTGTACTCTTTGGTTCTTTCGGTAAAGTCATGCAAGTAGAAAAATAATAATAGATTATGACGTTTCGATTGCCACACAACCAACCGTCTTCCGGTGGGAGTCAAAGACGTGTGGCGATCGAAACGTCGTGATCTAGGATTATTTTTCTACCTACGTGACTTTACCGAAAGAACCAAAGAGTATAGATTCCTGCAGTCACGAAAACTTCAAATCAAGATTATAGAGTTAGTAGTTACTTCTACGGTCAGTAGATACTACTGTACTCAGTAGACAACTACAGTCAGTAGATACTACCGTAGAGTCAGTAGATGCTACCGTAGAGTATGATACTACTATAGCGTCACTAGATACTACTGACTAGCTATTGTATGCAGGGTGTAGGTATATATGCCTATGGGGGAAGGGGGTAAAACTATTTTTGGAGGGGGGGGGGGGGTCGACAAATTTGGAAACCTTTTAGATCAACTATTCACCCCCCACTTTCTATTAATTTTTGATTCAGGACTTCTGCAAGCCTCTTTTAATTTTGACGGACATATGGACAGAAACGGAATGCCGGGCTTTTCCCCCAGGCAAAGCCAGGTACATCCTGCTAGTGGTTAATAAAAATGAAACATGTCGTTCCTAATAACTGATAGCAAGTTCCAGGAAAACACGTCAAGTTCACAATTTAAACACAAAACGAATGACATCAGCATGTGCAAACACTATCCAGGATTTGTCACCGTTAGCCAGTTCCAGAGTAGATCAAATTGTTCTATACGCGAACAACGCATATACATAGCTCTTTCACGATAGCCTACATTCTTGCAAGAATGGCACAAATGTACTTATTATGATATATCTGTCTGGGATGTTGGGGCACACAGCAAGTTAAAAACTACACCTTAACTATTTTTATTTTACCAGTAAAGGCCCACCGAGCTATATAGCTCTTTTTCAGAAGCTACCTGGCCACAAATGATTGCTAAACAAAGTGACTAGGAAATTTAAAGCAGTCGCGAAAACTCTCAACGCATGTTAGACAGACCGCGGCATGAACGTGGCGTTGCACAGCGCGGCGTCCTCATCGTCCAGTCCGTCGAACAGCTGTGCTTTTGCCGATCCCGAAGAGCCGAGCGCCTTGGGTCGCAGACGAGCCGCCGGTCGAGGCGTCAACCGGTAATGTGTGGGAGTGGAGAATGCCTTCTGGGCCTCCGGATTGGTCGGTTTCAGCCGCTGTAAAAAAATAAACGGGTGATCAACACTTTTTTGTCCATAACAGGTTTTTGGGTTAGATACCGTAAATGTGTCGTTAAATCCGCCACCACCCAACACAGCCAATTAGTAACATTTGTCACGTCAATTTGTTACTAGTTCGGCACACCGGTGTTAGAGAATAAACCCCATTTACCATTCGAGAACAACGTTTCGCTGGTAAATACAACCAGCCTCATCAGGCGACAGCCAGAGTTGTAGAGAAATCCACCTGTTTGGGTCTTAAATATTTGCTATACTCATGCCTTCTGGAGCATTGTAGGTAAAATAATAAACAAGCAGAACTTTACTCATCTCCAGGTATCACTAGAAAGCATTTTAAAAGCGTATTAAATATCAAGCATGCAATACTTAGAGCACAAATAAAATTGGCCCAAGGGACTTCACTGGTTGATGTAAGTAATCGTTTAAATGTAAAGCACCTCTTCTTTCTTCTGTGGGTCTGTGACGATATTGCGAAAGAGTGGAGAGTCCCCGAATGGGTTGTACGCCAGGGCTGTGATTTGGTTCTGGTGAATGACAGCCTGTGCCGTCCCAGCCTGTGCGGCCCCTGCAATGCACAACAACACAGTGCACAGATGTCACTCGGTTAAACTAACCGGGCAGAAATATGCACGAGCGAGCAAATGGGGGAAACGTCACTTGCAATGATGGGATGGAGCAAGATGGGTTATCGCAATGTGAAACCATTACAGATAGCAATGGCTTGGGGAAGCCTTCATTAGCAGGAGATAAATCAAGGCTCATGATGACAGTAGGGATGTAACATTACATCAATCCATCAAATGACTGATTAAAATTACTTGATTCTTACACTCATGATACACGCATCAAATCGCGTGCAAGAATACATTGTTTAATAAAATACTTTGAAAAATACTTAATGTTATGCAAACTGGTAAAAACAAGACGAAGAATTGCAGAATCAAAATTTAACTCAAATTGTAACACTCGAATTATTTGCTGGGTGGTGCGAGAGGGGCGAATCCTTACATGCATAATTTAGAGGTTAATGCGTACCCAAGGCACCCTGCGTTGTTCCGAAACCCGAGGAGGAACCAACGCCACCAAAAGGAGCGGTGGACAAGGAGCTGACACCCAGACCTGTTCCCATCGCAGGCTGGCTGTTTCCGAAGAGAGACGGCTGTCCTGTTCCAAGCCCTAAAATAAATAAAAAAACACAGATTATTGTCTAAAAAATAAAACTTCTAAATGTTCAAATGGATGTTTATATTTTAAAAAACGTTACATTTTTATCATTGAGACTAAAAATCAATTATTAAAATGCAACACACATGGAATTAACTGAGCAATTCCATTGCTAGACAATTTAAAATGTATTCCTGTTAGTAAATCTCTTCGAGATAAAAATCTATAGTGTACTTAAGTAACATACCAGAACCAAAGGTGGAGCCAAGCCCAGCTCCTAGACCCCCTGTAGTCATTTTGTTTCCAAACAGACCGCCAGTGTTTGCACTGCCAAAACCTACAGCAGAGTCAATCATCTGTCGTTAAACATTCGGCATGAAAACGAAGCATTTAACACATTAGCAATGAACTTCCATGGCAATCACATTTTGCAAACCCGAATGCTAAAATGTAAACAATGTAATTCTCACCAAAGCCCGTAGCATTGTTGGTGGCACCAAGGGAGAGGCCACCCGGTTTGGCTCCAAATAGTCCTCCCCCAACTCCGGTACCGAATCCTGAGGCAGTGCTGGTAGCTGGAGCAGCAAATCCTGCTGGCTTGTTGCCAAATAACGTCTTAAAAAACACAACAAAAATAAACAGGAAGCCGTCAAATAATGATTCAAATCTTGATTTGAAGCTTTCGTGACTGGAACCTACGTGACTTTACCGAAAGAACCAAAGAATAATGATTAAAATGTACATTTTATTTTAGATTTAGAGAGCGTCTTCACTCAAGGGTGAGCAACTTTAAAAATGTATACTCACCGCTCCAGTCGCACCAAAACCAGAACTCTGTTGAGTGGCACCAAAGAGTCCAGTAGAGGCGGGGGCCGCCACACCAAAAGCCCCTCCTGTGCCAAATCCTGCACCAGCCGTGGCTGTGGTCGCTGTGCCGGTCCCAAAGAGCCCTCCCGGGCGTGACGCTCCCACAGCGCCAAACAAACCCTGCCAAAGATAGGGATCAACAGGACAGGAAAATAAAACACATGCCGCCAACTACATGGGATGCTGCCTTGATATAAGGGATAACACATACTGGGGACTTTAAATCCAGAGGCTGCGGATTCGATCTCCCGATGCAGCGATTGAAACAATAGGCAAGTTTCATAAACTCCCCCTGCTTTTGCGTGTGACAGAATAAAGTGGGCATTCCCACCTTTTCCAAAACCTGGCCAACATGGAAGAGTAGGCCAAAAATACCCTCTGTAGAGGGGCACTACATGGAGCAGGATTGCACCTTCACATTTTCAACTACAAACTACTGTAAGTAGATAATTGGACCTTGCCTACATGAGCATTTTTAAATATATTTATTTTTAAAGAGACATGTACATTTTAAAGCGGCAATAAAATTAACTTCAAGTGAATGACCGAGACGAACTTACTCCTGTCGTGGGGTTGGCCTGGCCGAAAGGTGTGGCGGTGGCAGCTCCACTAAAAGAAAATCCGGAGGCCTGCGTGGTTGCGGTGGCCACTCCAAATGGCTTGCTGAACACGCCCGTGCCGACCCCTGCCGCAGCACCTCCGGCGCCAGCAGCCGCAGCCCCCGGCTGGGCCTGAGTATTGCCAAACAGGCCACCTCCTGTTGACGCTGATGCGCTGAACGCTGCCCCTGCACACCACATTATGTGTATGTTTAAAACATAGCTTCTCAGCAGCAGCAATGCACAACTGCATTTCTAAAAACACATCTTAAAACAAAAGAGCAGTTTATTATTGCAAATGAAATATTGAAATATAATTTCAATTGTCTAAATATGACCAAAGCTCAAGTCGCTGTACATAAATAGTAGGCACGTTAATTAAGAAGCAATGATCAGAGGAAAAGGTAAAAAATAAAGTCTTGAGCCAGGACTTGTAAAGGAAATATAATTAGTTGCATCAAAAATACTAAGTCCATACCTGTGCCAAACGCGTTAGGTTTGGGCTGGCCAAACGCAAAGCCAGTGGCTGCTGCTGGCGCAGTAGCTGCCGTTCCAAAGAGACCACCCGTCTGATTGACAGGGGTGGCAGCCGCTCCAAACAAACTTCCTGTGGCTGCTGCCCCCAAAGCCCCAGCCTGCAATCCCTTGCGATTATCCGTATAGTCCTCCAGGCGCAGCTCCTAAAAGTCAGGGAACTTGGTGAGTAAATGTGCCTAATACATAAGGGGACACTAGTTATGATCAGGCAGATGCTTAAAAAAAACACAAAATGTACAACCAGAAACCACTGGGTTTACCTCAAGCGACTTGGTCTCGTATTCCTTCATAGCAGTGATACACTGGTGCTTGGTACGGATGGTGGTGCTAGCTCCATTCTTCATCATCGTGTCAGTGCCCTCGACCGGCTATAGAGGTTAAAAGCACAATTTAAATGTTTATATTGACACTTCCAAAACACTTGTTTGTTTATGCCACATAGTTACAAATTAACAGACATGGATTTTGGTGCAACTTGCAACTTTTAAACAAAAGCTGAAGGCTTAACTTACAATGAACTTTATTGTTGTTCCTTTCGTGGCTTGGGCGCTGAACCCTCCAAAAGCTCCTCCAGTGGCTGTGCTGGCTCCAAATTGGGTTACTGTGGCCGTGGTAGTGCCAAAAAGCCCACCGGTTCCTGGGTTGGCTCCAAACCCTTCATAGAAACAATAAATGAAAGTCCTCCGATTAGCACGGTTGGCTTCGTACGGTGCGAAAGAAGAAGTTATAAAGGACAACTATTTTTTATGTAAACATAGATGCACACCTCCAAAGCCAGCTGGTTTGTTCTGAACAAATCCTCCGGTGTTTGCTGCATTGTTGGTCTGTGGTGTTGAGAAGAGGCTGGAGCTGAACGGATTTCCAGCAGCGGAGGTAGCAGCGCCAAACCCTGATGTGCTGGTGGCATTTGCAGGTGCCTGTCCGAAAGCACCCGCACCGAACAGCCCGGCTGCATACACGGAAAGGGTGAAAATGACACCCCAAATAGCTTAGAAAAACAGGACTAGAGTAGTTACATTATAGCAATTCTAATCTGAATGCGTCTTGATTCAATCAAACACAACCATTTCTTACCTGGCTTTGTTTGACTGGTGCCCCCAAACATCCCTCCTCCGGCAGGGGCTGCGCCAAACCCCGCTGCTCCAAAACTTCCAAAGCCCCCTGCATTAGAAGCTGAAGGGAACATGAAGGAAAACACTTGAGATAAAGTAATATTCAAAACATATGTTATGCAATTTAAAAAAAATACATAATCCAAGATAGTTCGGTACTTTGGTTTGCTTTACAAAGTAGGATTTATCAGTGTTGAATGCAAAAGGGTGATCTTACTCTGTCCAAACGTGGAGGCGTTTCCACCAAAAGTGGAACCGAAGGTGCTTCCAAAGGGCTTGTTTTGCCCAAACATGTTGGGGGAGAATCTTGGCCACTAACATTGAGAAAAAAATATAGAACACAAGTGAGACCCAACGCATAAATAAATGCACAAGTAAACCGTTATTTAAAAAATTTCACCGACTAAACATCACTTTAAACAACCACCATCTGACAGACGATGTCACATTACTACATTTATTATAAGTAAACGACCAACTAATTTTTATTTCCGTCAACAGCGTATTCATTATTACTCCGAGTGCACACGAATATTTACAATTTCAAGTACAGGGTAAGAATGTAAAGTGATAGGAGTTACATTGTAACTAACGTCCTGCAGGAATCTGATTGTGAATTAGATTTCACCCCCCCCCAATTTGGTATCCACCGTTTTCCTACAGCCACTCAATTGCCTCCAAAACGCCAATATGTTCAAACAAGCAGGACGAAGTACAGTACTAAAAACGAATAAGTAAAAACATCGTCAAGACTAAAACGCGTTTAAGACTCGCATGTAAGTAAGTTTACGCTGTCAAATGTAACCTTATGTGGGTATACTTGGGCTGTTTTTATATATAGTATAAATTGATTATCTTTCATTTAATTTTATTTTTATTTTCTTGTTTTATTTAATTTAAATTTATGAATGATGCCCTGACTGGTGAGCATTTTAAATTTCGTTGTACTGGTGACAATGACAATAAACGATCTATCTATCTATCTAAATGGTTGGTTACACGCGTTAACCGAGGACGATTTCAAAATCAGTGACGTTATTCCTATTTGTGAAAGGACCAAGCGAATGGTGAAAAAAAATGTCATTCTTCTAATGCCAATTCACCAGGTTTTTAATGCAACTCCACAGAAAAACGTATTGATGGAATTAGACGGGAGGCCAGTGACCCAAAGCGATCGTCATAACGGAGAAAGCGACAAGTTTTATCTGGCAAAAAAACCAGGCGCGAGTTTCGATTGATTTTTTGAACGCTCCACTTCCGTCAACTTCCGTACACTCCTGCGATCACATCGGCCGTGCCGAGTACATTAAAGAAACTAAGTCAACCCACACAACTGACACTACACCTGGTTTGTTTTGACACGGGCTTGGTTGACATGAGTTTGCGGATTACTTGGCGAAAACGAAACTATTCACAATTACGTTCGGTAAAAATCTAGTAATGCTACATTCTTTATATTGTTCCAAAATACGACTGCGAGCGTGATGTTCATATTAGAACCATTTAAAAATCATGGCCTAGCAAAGCACAGGCGCGTTTCGCGGTTATTAAAAAAAAACACGTCACTGTTGCATCCATAGAAAGAAAGAGACGCACCTCAAACACAAACGTTCATTCGCGTAAACGAAGCTCGGTAAGGATGGTTGGTTGGAGGGGGATGTCCCGGGAGAAACGCGCACGGTGCCGCGGCGCCGCCTGTAGACAACGCGGGGATTTTGTTAACAAAAAGGACTCGAATGCCCAAAAGACACACACACACACTCCCATTGCACACGTGTTACTAAAAACTCCAATCGAAACTTAAAACAAAAAAACTCAACTACGACGATCGCAAAAAAGTCATCAACACCCGACAGTTAAAGAACACGCAACTATTATTAAAACATTCAAATAGTTTTAAAAGACTCAATCCTCCCGCGCCGAGTTTGAGGCCTACTAATTCGCCATAACGGCCTAAGCGTGGCGGGCCCCAGTTTAGTAGTGGGCGCGTCGAACACTTAAACAAAACAAACAGAAACACACGCGCTCGCTCAAACTGTTCACCGAGCTTAATGTAAAGTGGAGTGAAGCGACGGGTGCTGGAACTAACGACGCCAAAGACGCTTCGCTTCTTCCTCCTCCTCCCGAGCGGAGCCGAGAGACGGCGAGCGGCAGATCTCGTACTCGCCTCAGCCCTAGGCGCGCGCTCCCCTCCTCTAAGCCAATCACGGCGCGCCTTACTAAGGGGCGCCGTTGGTGACGTCGCGTGCGTGGGTGACCTGACGGCCAATAGGAGGAGGCGACGGTGGGCGGAATTTCTCAACCTGGAAGTTGAAAAGGGGTGAGGGGGGGGGCTGCTTTGACCTCCACCCACAGCCCCTCCCCTTAACCCACACCGGAAGAGAGGACTCCCGCCCACAGAACACGCGCGCGGTGTATCCGCCGGAAGTTACGTCAGTCACATCCCCCCCAACCCTACCCCCCCAAACCCCCCCGCCAAGCCCACCCCCCAACCCCCCCCACCCACACTGGAAGAGAGGACTCCCGCCCATGGAACACGCGCGCGGTATATCCGCCGGAAGTTACGTCAGCCACACCCCCCGCAACCCTACCCCCCAACCCCCCCCCACCCACACCGGAAGAGAGGACTCCCGCCCATGGAACACGCGCGTGGTGTATCCGCCGGAAGTTACGTCAGTCACATCCCCCCCAACCCTACCCCCCCAACCCCCCCAACCCATACCGGAACACGCGCGCGGTATATCCGCCGGAAGCTGCGTCACTCACCCCCCCGAACCCACCCCCAGCCCTCAACCTCTCCCCCCACACAACAGTTGGACCCGCCCACATATCATCTATCCCACGGTGGCCACGCCCATTACTCCTCGAGACCACGCCCATTACTCCTCGAGACCACGCCTACTCCTCGAGACCACGCCCATTACTTCTCGAGACCACGCCTACTCCTCGAGACCACGCCTACGTCTCGAGACCACGCCCATTACTTCTCGAGACCACGCCCATTACTCCTCGAGACCACGCCTACTCCTCGAGACCACGCCCATTACTCCTCGAGACCACGCCCATTACTCCTCGAGACCACGCCCATTACTCATCGAGACCACGCCCATTACTCCTTGAGACCACGCCTACTCCTCGAGACCACGCCTACTCCTCTAGACCACGCCCATTACTCCTCGAGACCACGCCCATTACTCCTCGAGACCACGCCTACTCCTCGAGACCACGCCCATTACTCCTCGAGACCACGCCCCACTCGCTGTCCGCTGTGGCTCAAAGACAATGATCCCCCAGACTATGAGAATACATTTTCCATATTCTTAGGTTTTTTCGGTAAAGTCACGTAGGTAAAAAAAAATGTAAATTAATAAAAGTAAAATAAAAATAACGACGTTTCGGAGGCAACACAAGCTTCCGTCTTCAGGAGGAACAGTTACAGCACGATTGCTGTATCAAGTGAAGCTTGTGTTGCCTCCGAAACGTCGTGATTTTTATTTTACTTTTATTAATTTTAATTTTTTTTACCGATGTGACTTTACCGAAAAAACCTAAGAATATGAATCATTGCAGTCATGAAAGCTTCAAATCTAGAATTAATAGATTTTCCCTTCTAGATTTGAAGCTTTCGTGACTGCAAGGATCCATACTCTTAGTTTTTTCGGTAAAGTCACGTAGGTAAAAAATAGTAGCTATCATCTCAACTGAGTAATTAGCAGGCAACTTAAAACTTTTGCAATTTGGAACCGTAACGCCCCCACACAGTGGCCTACTCAGGTTGGCACCTCTGTACGCTGAGAAATAATTTCAACATACATACATACAAACTCTTCCGAATGATGCAATGGAATCTTAACATCCACCATATAGCAGACGGCGCATCGTACTATTACGATTAATACCGATTTGACCCCAATTTGAACTGTGAACCTCTGCACAGAGCCGTCCCTCGGGTACACGGTGAACCGCCCCGTGCCCCGTGCTTTGGGGGGGGCGCCCTTCGATGTCACGTGGTTTAGTCTGAAGGTGTCGGGGGGGAGGGGTGTACACGGTGGGATTTAGCCCGAGCGTTCCCACTGTGGGATGACCAGGCTTCGGTTTTCAAGACTGCGATGGAGATTGGCTGCCCGAAGAAGAGGCGAAGCTGTTGGCATCTGCTGTAGATGGGGAAGAGGATGGCACTGCTAGACCGCCAGTCCGAACCCAAAGATGCCAGCAGTGGATAGAGCTTGGGGTTTCCCCCGCGAGAGCTGCAGTTGTTTTGTCCTGGCCAGGAGCAACAGCAAACCAGTTATTAGTGCAGTGAAATAAAGTTTCATTGTCACCAGACACATTATGCAGAATAAAATCTATGAGCATGAACCGAGACTGTTGCCTCGTGTGTATGTGTGTGTGTGGAATTACAGATATAGTCATGAATGTGTAGTGACTGACTTGGAGACGTAACTTCTTGGAGGCAATTCTTTAATTAAACACCGAGCAAACTGTTGCACACTCTCTGCTGTGACACAACGCTCTGTCGTTCGCTTAAACGCGAGCCGTCTGACACTGCACTGAACGAAGACCGCCAACTACTAATAGCAGTGCAATTATTAAGTGGACGACGATCACGACGAAGGCACGAGACGACAACGGCGACGACGAGGGGATCCCACTCCAAACGACGGATCTGACCTCCTGCTCGGGGTCCCCTTTTATCCTGTTAGCGTGGACTAAAAAGAACGTATGATGAGAAAACCACTCACATATATTCACCATCTCCATTGTGACCTTACATTCACATCGACGACACAATTCGTTTTAATGTTATCTTTTTGTGTTGATGTTTTTCTCTGGTTGTGCCCTTGGCAAATGCGCTTGGGCCAATGTTGGCCATTCCACGTTTACTGGGACGGCTGCCTTATACGTGGAATTTCGGTATGAAAGTCGATCCGCGTTAACAGAGACGGAAGCAATCGACTCCCAGAATCGATGGTGCATGGAGATGGTAATCAAGACCGAAGTCGCACATCGCTCCGTGATTTGTGAGGGGCACGTCTAACTATATTCCCCAGCCAACGCAGCCTTGCCTGCCGGAGGAGCTCGCCGATGGGACCGTGTCCAGATCACACACTCACTTGCACACACACTCACTTTCAGGCACACACACACTCCCAGCGGGAAGCTGGGACTCATTACATGTGTAGTGATACAGCGCCGACTGCTGTCCAGCAGGAGGAACTGGGGCAAGGGTCACGGTAGACCTCGTGGGGAGGCCCCTGGAACCCTCCTGGTGGGTTCGAGAAGGGAGGCGCGGCTAGGGCGGAGCCAAGCCGCGCCGAGTAGAAGATAAACAGCGGAGATCATCAGCTCCGGGCTGCCGGTTCTGGGAGTAGACTCGTCTCGTCGCCGCCGTCGTCGCCGCCGCCGCCTTCGCCCGATCATTGCGCGGCCGGACAGTAGTTGGCTGTTTCGGTCAACGCCGTCGGTGCAACGTGGACAGGGTTGTGTCCGGGCCGGGTCGTACGGCAGCGTGGTCGTGAGAGAGGAAGCTGGAGTTGGTGGCGTGAACAAGAGAATAGAGAGACGATGCCTCTTGCGACGACCTCGTTTCCGACTGAGTGTGTGTGCCGCATACCACGCGCACACACACGCCGGGAGGAAGGAGGATACTACATATCTGTACAAAATAGTTGCACGGTTTGGTTCACAAGTGCAAGTTCGCATGTCAGATGTTTAGAAAATAAATTCCCCCCCCCTCCTTAGGAGTAGATATACCACGAAGGCGGTCCCCATTTTGGTGGGGCAGTGAGCCCAATCTCCTCCCTCTAAACCCAGGAGCACAGAGTTTGGGACCTATATCCGCGTAGTTTCTGTACCCCCCTCCCTGCGTCGCGGTTCGTGCTCTGTACCGGGCTCTTATTGAAATACAATAAAAACTTTTTTTAAATAATTATTTTATGGAAGTTTGTTCGTAAGTGCATAAGTCGGTTATTCATAAGTCGAGGACTGCATGTATGGCCATCTCCACACACACATCCATAACATCCACATGATGTCCTTATCCTTCCTGTTCCACTTGCTATTATCAACAAGATAAGCTAGACAGACCTTTTAGCAGCTTCACAGGACCAAAAGCTAGCTCCTCTCTTTGGTGTGCTTCATTATGGCCCAGGGATAAACTGGACGGGTTTCGATTTGCCTGCCCCCACACTGCCTATGTGCCATCTTGACTGATCATACGAGGTACTTAATTCACCCAGAATGCTGTGATGAGCATGTCGCCAAGAAGTAAAGGTGAGCCCCACCCGCAGGTGATGAAGTGCTGCCCAGGGCCAGGTGGACAACACCCTCATAGGCGGCCGATATTGAAGAATATCTTAATGGTAAAAGTGCCAAGCAGGTGACGTGTGATCTCTTGCTTTTGTCGCGACCTTTTAGAATGACGCCGGCCAAAACACAACATTTCGTCATCGTCCGTTCTTTGATTTCGACTTGGATCTCTGTTTATTTTGTTCAAGACACAGTAAATACTACAGCACAACGACAGCTCGCAAGGAACTACGAAGAAGTAGCGAACCGCTTTCGTTTCAACTTGTACAGTATTTGCGTAGGAAATGCGGTACAGAAACGCGCACGGGGAGACATCTTTCCCCAAATAAAACAATTGAAAGCTGAACATAGAGTTATATCGTAGCAATCTGATGAATGCTTTAAATTAGTAGTATTTTTTTACATACAATAATAAAAATTACCTGAACAGTAAATGGCGAATGTAAACTTCAAAATACACACGTATGCAAGTATAACACAGTTACCTTTATTATTCACTGTGTTCGAACGTAAATTTTTGACACCGATGGGTACACAACAGAATGGCACTTGGAGATTCCAATCAGACCACGTGTCGTTACCAAACCTGTCACGGATCCTACTCCTATGGAATCCTGCCGTGTGTTTAAAATGCTTAACCCTTGCTAAAACCCAAACAAGTCGACGTTATGATGGTCGGGATTGAGACTCTTCGTGTTATACAAAAAAGAAATGAATCCTCTTCTTGGTTCTTTCGGTAAAGTCACGTAGGATGGAAATAATAAAATAGTAAAAATAAAACAAAATAAAATAATTCTCACGACGTTTTGGCCACAACGCAAGCAGCCGTCCTCAGGTGGAGAACAGGGCTGTCGAGAAGACAGACCTGTTCTCC